TTATGTGAAATTTTTTTTGTACGGTCATCTTGGCCAGGACTCCCTGGAAGAAGAGATTTCTTTTATCTCAATGGGACCTTCCTGGAAAAATAAAGGCTAAATAAATAAAAATAAATATGAGCTAACCGATCTTTAGATTTAATCACCATTGGTAGCGAGATTTATGGTAATGCTTTTTTCCTCAGTTGGTCAGAACAAACGTGGCAGACTTGTTACTTACTTGCTCAGATGGCAATATACGGTGAAAATTTTTATTTGGGTCATATTCCAAGACGTAGGCTAGAATCTGTGATTGCGAAGTACAGTAAATATCCACACTGGTGCGGTGACTGACTGCCGCACATACTCTTCAGAACATTAGATTCATCCGCGCTGGAGCCTGCCGACTCACAACCCAAGCAAGCTAGATAATTCAGCTGCAATTCCAGGTTTTCAAACAGAGATGGCGACAAAGAGGCAAAACTTACGGACTGCAGCTTTAACTGAAATATTAGTCTGGAATGTTTGAAGCCACAACTATCTGGCAGAGTAACTCAGTAAGTGCTACAAATTAACAAAAGACTACATGCAGATAATTGATCTGAAATCGTTATTTAATGACAGATTATAGCATTATACACTTTAGATTACAGAACAAAGCAATGTTTGCGGTGTTCCTGCATGGCTTTGACCAACAGATGTCGCAAGCATTCCGTCACTCTTGCGTTGCACATGTGTCGATTAAGTCTTTTTTTTTTAATTAAGTCATTAATTAATTTGATTAAGTCATTATTTCGAGAAAGTTCCCTTTCATGGGAACTTCGAACTGCGTCCTCTAGGGGTCGCTATGGGGGAATGCCTCGTCTTGACCCGTATCTGAAGCATACATTGAAAAAACACCAACAACACGTTGGCCGACGACAGCCATTACGTCACTACCGGCGCGACTATAGTATAAATAGGCACTGGGAGAACACATCATCCTCTTCTTCATCTTCATTGACTGTTTTGTTTGAAGCGTGCATTTCCGTGGTAAGAGCGAAGAGCGATCTTTTGTTATGCCGAGCACTAGCAAAACGTTTAGGAGATGTGTGCATCCGTGTCATCGCTATTCGCTATTCGATGACACACACGATCTGTGCGTTGTTTGTTTGGGCGAAGAGCACGTACGCAATGTCCTCGAGGGGGCAATCTGCGTGCACTGCGAGCATTTTTCAATGAAAAAGCTCCGTTCTTGTTTGTCTCTTTGTCAAGTAAAGAGGGGCAGCCATCTGCTTCCCGCGGTTCAGGACCCGCCGCTGCTGAGGCACGGAGGCGAATGAGCTCGTGGGGATCGCAGGTGGATCTGGCCGATGAGTTTAAAGAGGG